ATTATTAACGGGCTGAGGCTGTTTATTTAACGCATAAAATTAAAGACAAGTTTTTACACTTATTATTTTGTGTTAAATATTTTAATTATATTTTAATTTTTATAAAAACACAAATTAATATTAACAACTGCAAATTTTTTATTTAAAAATTTTTTTTTATAATTTTATGTGTTAAATAAACGATAACATATAAACCCGGTAATAATTAAAAAACTTATATATTATATATTATCATTCGGTTTAGTGGTTCAGATAATAATAGAAAAATGTCTTTTATAGGTATATTTTTGCAAGTCACGATTTTAACCATTTATTATTCAACAATAAAAAATAAAAGTTTAAAAAAAATAATTTACACTAAAATACATTTAGTTGAAACTTTTAAGTAATATAGTATTATATTACTTATAAATGCGCGTTTTAAAATTCTGACATTTCACTATGAACAAATAAACCTGATGGACTTTAATATATTCTCTTTTAACAATCGCGTAGGTGGGTTTTAAAACATAAATATTTATGATCAGATGAAAACCAAACGGTACTAATGAGTTACTTAAACATAGGAGGATATCCTGCCATCGCTAAACCCAATCAATCAGCCATATGTGTCCAACATTCACATTTCAGTACATTTAAATTCGTAGTTCGGTTATATTAAACTTCACACCCTTAGGTTACGATTCAAAACGAATAGAAAGAAAGAATAATTATTTTTAACCATTAAAATAACTTTTACACTTTATGTAGTTTCATAAAGTACAAGAAAAAAAAATAAATTAGTTCACATTTAGTTCGTCGACAATTTCAAGGGTGAAGTCCATATTGTTCAAAATTCTATCGTATATTGATAATCTTGTCTAGGTTCACCGACGAATAATAAATATAGACTCAAGTTTCCTGATTATTGGTGTGATTTTTATAGATTAATAATGCAACTGAAATAGTTATACATACAATTGATTAAATTTTATTAGCAATCAATGATTTACATTGTGACCGAAAAGCTTTCGGAAATTCTCATTTAAAATTCGCGCGCTGTATATTTTTCGATATTTTAAGTTTATGTAGTTTGGCAGCACTGTCCTTAATTACTATGCCAAAAATGAGCGCGATCTGTCGGACAGTTCGTTTACGGCAGCTGTTGAAACCAGTTCACCTCAGTAGTGCGTTGCGAAAAAAACAATGGAAAAAAATATTGAACAAAGAGTTTGCATCAAATTTTGTTTTTCGAACGAAATTTCGTGTGCAGAATCGTTGCGAATGCTACAAAAGGCTTATGGGGAATCAGTTTTATCGAAAACTCAAGTTTATGAGTGGTACAAAGCCTTTCAGGACTGTCGTACGACCGTCGAAGACATGCCGCGTTCTGGACGACCTTCGACCTCTACCACCGACGAAAACATTGAAAAGGCAAAGGAAATCGTGTTCAAAAATCCTCATGTGAGTGTTAGAGAGATAGCACGAGAGCTAGGCATCGGTCGTGAGATGGCTCGTTTGATTTTGGTGGACAATTTGTGTATGCGACGTGTCAACGCCCGGCTTGTTCCGATTCACCTCAATTTGTTCAACATTATCAACGATTTTAAGGCCAAACATTCAATAAATACCATCGAACAGCCACCGTATTCACCTGATCTTGCACCGTGTGACTTTTTCCTGTTTCCCAACCTCAAATTACCACTCAGAGGAACGCGTTTTGAATCCATAGAAGACGTAAAACAGAATTCGCAGAGGGAACTCAAAGCCATACCGGAAAGCGCCTATAAAAATGTTTTGATGATTGGAAGAAACGTTGGCATTTGTGTAATCGCTTCTAATGGAGCATATTTTGAAGGAGATAAAATAAATATTGATGAAGATTAAGAATTTTGCGTTTTATTTAAAATTTTCCGGAAACTTTTCGGTCACAATGTATATTATAAATAATATTATTCGTGGAAAATACATACACAATTATTTCCTTAATTTGCAAGTTTTATTAGTTAATATTCACAGCTTAAAATATATAGTATTTTTAATTAGAACCTAGTAAGTATTGGACGCTTAATCTATATATATGCCTGTAACATATTTCTGATTTGTTAATAGATATATAATGCAATTACTGATTCATTATAGAAAATAAACGAATTGTAATTTTCCTTAACAATTTATAAGATTGACTTTAAAGTACATAGGACTTTTTAAAAATAGATAGTTGTAATTATGTATATATATATATATTTGAATATTATTGAGAACGTCAGGTTAAATACTCTTTGTATGGGATTGTTGTGGAGCGGTTTTTATCCTACGAAAAAATGTGTGTCTCGATAAAGGAAAATTGTTCTGTACATATAGAAATAATAAAATTAGAAATTAGAAGTTTCTTCTATGATATATAGTATACAGTTCATAAAAACTAATAATGTAGTGTGAAAGTTAATAGTAAACTACCTCAATAGTTTGTTTGTATTAGAGGTAGCTATTTTTTATACTCTATTAATTTGTTGTCATTTTTTAGAAAAACTTAATCAGCTATTAATTTGACAAAACACTTCATAAAAAAGTGTAATTTTATTAATTCCTTTATAGACTTAAACAGAGTATTCCAAATAAGTTAATTGTAATAAACAAGTTCTTTCCCGAGATATATAAGAACATACTGAATATACGGTCATATTTCTGTAGTTCTATGTAAAAAAAATTTGCTATCATTTGTTACATAGTTGACAACATATACTAAATATATATGTTAGCTTTTATAATACCTTTTAGAAGAGCTTTCTAATAAATATTATTAGATAATTTATCGATTGACAACTTTATATGACTTATTAGGTATTTATCAATTTAAATGAATATAAAAATATTATTAAAACTACTTGCAAATTGTAAAGATGTGATGTGATTAAATTTTTTATTGATAGTATGTTACTAAAATATTAAAATTTAATGCATTTTATTAAACTCACTTGACATGCAATAAATTAAAATTTATTTATAATAAAAAAAATGCAAATAGCATACTTGAAATTATTCCTTTTTCTGTTTCTGAAGTTTCTGAAGAAGGAAAACAAATTTCCAAAGATACAATGTGTGATTCATAGTTAATGTCGCATTTGAACTGTAAATATTAATACGTGGTTGTTGTATGTTACATTTCGAGTTTTATTGATAGATAATTTTCCTTTAAAACGTTGTTAAATCAACATTTATTGACATTAATGAACTTGTCAATATTTCAATGAAATAATATTTTCTTTATTTTTAAAATTTTGAAAGGCAGCCTCATTAAGATATTTACATATACACAACACATGGTTGGGAATGGAATATAAAATCAAGAAAAAAAAAAAAACTACAACAGCACATATGTAAATAGAAATACTTATACGTAATATTATTTGAGAAATTCAAAAAGGAAATTTGCTTTAAAAACGCATTTTTCTTCTTGAACGTTTCTTTTTGAAGCCAATGGAGGCACATGGAAAATAAACAAGTCGGGCAAAAGTGTTGACTGCTAACCACCCGTTGAGCGGGCGTTTGGTGTTTTTCTAACTAATGTTGCTGTTGAAATGAAAACTTTGGGAGGAAAAATATTACAAAATGGGGAAAATTATATACATAACGGAAAAGAAATATACAAAGATGACAGCTAAAGGGTTACAGGAGCGTATTTACGACTAATATATGTAGAAAAAAATTTTTTTTTTACCAAATATACATTAAATATTTTTAAATTATAGGAATTATGAGAAAAAAATTGTAAGTAAATTTTTCTAAAAACTTTATATGAGTTTATTTAATAATTTAAGATAGGTAAAATTTCAAAATTATTATTTTTATTAGAATAAAGTTTTATATTTTATTTAAAGCTTATTTTTAATATAGCTGCTTTAACTAGAAACTCAACTGATTGGGATTAGTTTAATAAAAATCTGAACTTTACCCAATAAAATCAGTTTCAGTCACTAAATATTTTAGTTTCAAATTAAAACGATTTACGTTTTCTTTGGTAACTTTTATAAATTTTTTATTACTTTTCATGCACTAAAATCAAAGTCGAAAGCAAATACTATTTTCGAATAAAATGTTTGTATATTTATCTAAATTTTTTTTTGTTTTTATAGCTTCAATTCAAGGCATGTATTTATATATGCCGGTATATGTACGTAAAAGAAAGAATATTCCTAAAAAATACATTTTCGTTGGTTTCAATATGAAATTTACAATGGTGATGAGTATCTCCTTTGGCAATCAGACCGTACAGACGGCATGCTAACTACGTTAAAACGCCTTCCACATACTTGAACATCGAGAACAGCAACAGCAACAGCAACAATAACAATAATATAAAAAGATACAAAAAACAACAACACAAAAAAAAAAAATAATAATAGGACTCACAAAAAAAGAGAATAAAAATATATAACAAAAAAAAAAGAGTGAACTAAAGATGTTCAACCAAAATGCATCCAAGGATGTGCCGTATTAAAACGAGCATAAGAAAACCCATACGAATAAGAAGAAGAATAAGAAAGAAGTCAACAGCTCGTTAACTTTAAAGTGGTAAAGATGTTAAACGAGAAGTGTACTCAACTCCACGTGAACGAAAATAAAAATACGAATAAAAATAGGAATAAAAGCTAAAAATTTAAACATAAACAAGTAAATCAGAAAATAAGAATATAAAAAGTTAATATAAACATAAAAGTGCTAACAATGGGCAACAAGTCGCTTTGGGGCAGCAAAACGTCTTCGGAGTAGTACTAACATTACCAGCAAAATGTAATGGAGCCAACTATTCGTACTATACTTAACAGCACTGTACAGTACTTGTGCAAGGTAAAATTTTACGATTGCAATTTTTTGCCACAAAAAAGCAATCTCTTCAATGTTAGAGCAAAAATAGAATGCAATTATATGCAAAGTTTTAAACAAAATTACATATTTGATATTTGGGAGTGTTTTTATATGGACAGTTAAAGATTTTTATATAGTTTTTAGTAACTTACCATTTTTTCCATATTGATGGGAAAGCTTATTTAAACGACTTGACGAGCAGTTAAATTCTGAAACAGAAGAGAAATTGCAATTAGATTTGAATTAGCTGAAATATATATAAATTAATTATTATAAAAATTAAATTAAATTATAATATATTAATAAATTAATTATATTATATTTTTAGACAGTCTTCACTTCTAACACAGAACAAATAAATATATTATATATTAATTTTTTCAATGTTTAAGTACATAACTATTGCTTTCATTGACTACATACTATATAGTATATACACTACTTTAAAATTTTTCTATTGAAAAAAAAAAATATTTATAGTCTTATTCTTTTCAAATAATACCTTCGAAGATCTTAGTCGGTGTATCAAAGCCCATGTATGTATTAAATATTTACGTAAAGGGTTGTAGAAATATAAATATTTTGTTTTCTTTTAATTTAAGTTATAAAATAAAGAGGTAAATAAGTTAACCCTTGTCAACTGCGCTTACACTTTTCTCTGTGTTATCAATGCAAAAGAAATGAATATTAATTTACATGAAATAAAGCACGGTACTTAGTTCGGTAAATATCAGATACAAGACTGAGGTGCGTAGTTTTCACAGGTTAAGTAAATTAGATGTATACGCATGCTTTTGAATATCGCTGGTGCAATAACTTTACAGACAACAACAATAAAATTAACATCATTAGCAATAAGAAAAACCAACAACTACAATACAATGTGCTCCATTATACTTATATATATATATATATAAATATAAGTATAAAATAAAGTACGGTGTTATAAGCTTGATGCCACCAACGCACGCTAATTCAGAGTCTTTGTCTAGCATCGCACACAGATACTGCGTATACATGAGTATTAAGTAAGACCCACATTTATATCCAACTTGATTTAAGCATTAATGCGTCGAGTTTGTCGCACGAGATTCCTTGAGTTATGAGATTACAGACTACAATTTAATTAACTTTTTCTTTTTTTTTAATTCTGTTGTTTTTGTTGTGTTATATTTATTTTAACGGTAAGATATTGTTTGTCTTTAGATACATTCCGAGTTAAATTTAATCAGTAGCCCCACAGCAGATGAAGTAAAACAAACTGAAGTGAAAAACAAGAAATTGAAAGAACGCGTGACTTATTAGGATTTTAGGTTAGGGGTACAACATAATGGTGCGGTACGTATACAATAGCTTCAAAGCTTTTGTCAGATAAGCAAGTGTCGGCGAATTTCTTTGATTTCGATTTCCTTATTGTACTTATTGTTTCATTCTTTTTTTGTCTTTTGTTTTAACAATATACTTAGAATTTTCTTGAATTTTTTCTTTTCCTGCACTTGTAGTGTTTAGTTAGAGATAAACCACAAGTTTTAATTTTTTGATTAATTAAAAATTGCGCAAAAATATATTAATAGTACAAAAACATAATACCGGAAAAAACCAACAAATTTTGAACAAACATGCGAAACACTTTCTCTAAGACCAGTAATTGATATCCTAAAAGATTCAAATCTATTTAGAAAAAAAGATTTTCCTAAGTCGAAAATTTAAAATGTGAGAATGTTTTTTAACCTAAAGATTTTTAGTCCAAAGTTTTTGATTAATAGTAATTCAATCCAGTGTGTTAAGACACGCTTAACGAAGAACTTAAGAAGATTGAATCAGCGTATCCTATACATCATACTAAGATTATTCTATGCCCGTACTTTAAGGTAACGAATGGATCTGCGGAAATAATTTTATAGATTCTGGTTTGCATAGTCACTAATTTATATTAGATTGACCCAATACAAACAAACTGAACTGAACATAAAAATTTTTGAAATATTACCACAGTTGTGTGGTTTTTGGTAGTATCTTAAACAGCTCTATGGTTAACTCAAAATTATATTTAATTGCAATTTTTGTCAGTTTTCAATTCCCAATTTTGGAAATGCAAAACCGTTGTAATTTGCCCATAAACTACTTATCTGGATTATATCTTAATTTACACATAATGCATATATATAATACTTTTTTTTTTTTTGCTATAAAAACTGTTGCAGCATTGTTGATATATAATATGTATATAGTCACAAAAAAAAATAATTACATCTCGCGTTTATAGCATATAATAAAATATAAATAATTTGATATATACAATGTTTGTATTTTTATGTTTTTAATTAAATTAAACCTGCTGATTTAAGAATTTCAACAAAAAAGCAAAAAAAAGTATATATAATAAACTAAGCAAATATGCAAATATTTTTAAAACAACAATAATTACTGCTGTTTTTTTATCAACACTTAAGTATACAACAATTTAGCATCAAAAGAAACAAATATAAATATTTATTTAAAAATTAATGATTTAAGTATCTTTTAATTAATGAGTTTAGCAAAAGTACACAAACCGAAATATTTGGTTATTCTAATTAACATTCGATAAATTCTGTTTTTCATTTCTCAAAGCACAACGATCAGATACAAAATATATCAAGCCGATTCGAACAGAATTTGATTCCTGGAATTTTGATGAAAGAAAAAAATAAATTTGAAAATTCATGTTAAAAATAAAAAGATCTTCTTAAAACTAGGTTCAGCAGTCTGCTCAAATATCAACAAAAAAAGTTCGCTTTATTCAAGCAAACAACCTGTCAGTTTGAATGACTAATTAAGCACATACTACTCCGTACACAATATATAAACTGTATCGTATTAAGATACAAGTAACAGATACAAAAAATTTGCGCAGCATATGGCAGCCAATTAATTAAATTCTAATTTATGGCATAATTTTGTGAGTAGGAGAAATATTGTCAACAAAAAATGAATTATTTAATTTAGTTAGGCAGTAGGGAGAAGCTATCTGCACATGCTGTTCGTTCATTCCTTAAAAATGAAGTTTAAGGAAAAATTTTCTGAGAAAAATGTCACACTTTACACAGTTCAATTGGGCAACTCCCAATTGTATACCAGGAAGGCGTGTGCAAATGTGACTGGCATTTATTTCAAATAAAAATGGAATGTGCACATAATCTTGTACAGAAATATTCATAAGTTTTTAGCAAAAACCAAAGCAGACAGTCATTAAAAAAACATAAATAAATAAATAAAAAGTATCAATAACAAAATGTTTAATTTATGAGCTTATAAAATTTATGAGTTTTAAAATTCAAGCCACCATTATTGCATACCCACATATACCTACATCGTACATATTCATACAAACGAAAAAGTGTGTTTATAAGATTTTGTTGCAATTTAAATTTAAATGCTATAACAACATAATGAATATGTATTTTATAAGATACAATATAAAACAAACACACAGATTGCCACAACCAAAGAGAGCACAAAATGGTTGAAGGCAAAAAAAGTCTTTAAAATTCCAAAGAATCTTTTTGTTTTTCAACGCTCAGCAGATACTACTAAAAAGCGTGCATCGAAAAACAAACAGAAATTAATTAAGTTCTGTTCTTCGATATTGTCCATATAGTAACACAAAAAAGTTAAAAAAAACTGGTTGAAAGATACACAGATCCAAATAATGAAATTATATGTTTTATTTTGCACAACATGATGCAGGAAACAGCGCAGTAGTATGCATTCAGATTTCGTATGAAGATAATGCGTCCGTCTAGTGAATGCAGTAACGAGCCATTTACAAGGCACTAACTTGATTACTTCAAATGATAAAGTATACATAATTATATGCGTAAATATTTTCAACTGCCAATTCGTTGTTCCAGTGAGGTAAGAACAACGGTCATTAAGTAAGTGACTGATCTAATAAACAAACAAACGGTTTGAAGTAGAGGATTGAAGTACGCACAAATGCTGTAATGCAAATAGGCGTTAACGAAAGTAAAATCCCTCAAACTACTTACAAAAATTTGTTTGGTACATATATACAAGTATATATACATACAAGTGTTGTTGAAGCATATAAAAAACTATGTATGCTAACCCTTATATTTTTCATATTCTGAATAAAAATCAGAACATCAATTTTGTATATTCCGATCAACCAAAATAGTTATAGGTATATTATTTTAAGTCATTATAATGTTAATCATTACATATTTTATTTAACTTTATTTTTTTTTATATAAATATACTTTATATAAATATAAAAATTAATATTTATATTTAACGTTCGAACATACCACTAACTCAAGAAAAATAGAGATTAAGATTTTATTATATCATTGGCTCAGAGTGAAAAGGTGTTTGGTCCAATTAACATAATAATTTTTACGAAAATGTGCTTATAAGAAAAGTGTCTAATACTATATATTGTATAATCGAAAAATTATGGATTTCTTTTATTTATTTATTTTATTTAAAGCAAGTACTGACCCAACACAAAAGCTGTGTTTTAGATTTTCAAAAATATTAAAGAACAAAAAAAAATATTAAATTTTTCCACACTCCTGTAAATTTTGAAAAGATTAGCTTAGCATCTTTTTATTTTTCAGCCGGATATATTATATATATAGTTTAAATTCCTACAAGAAAAATAAAGCGTGATAAGTTTTTTGAGAGTACATATTTAACTTTTCAAATTATTGTAAAATATGTCTGTTGAAGGTCTGGCTATATATATGGTATGTGTCTGTTGATGGTCTGGCTATATATCTGTCTGTCATCTGGGTCATTTTGGAGATCAAGGTGAGGACTAAGGAATATGCCACTATGGATATGCTGAAGAAAGCCATATCGTAAGATCACATTCGTGAAGCATGCAGCTCAACCGTTTAAAGGCCATAATCAAGCCAAAAGGTGGTCATATCGAGCTAGAGTTAATGAATTATGGAATTTTGATTATTTCTACAAATGTTTGTAATTTGAATCAATATAAAATAGTTTCACACAAAAAAGTCATGATCACTTGAATAGGTAACATTTCAATCCCCTAAGCCTATACTATGTTTGCAGTAAGACATTTCATGAAGGTATTTCGTCGAGCCGTTAGAGACACTATATTTTTCTAAGGAAAAAATAAATAATGTCAATTTATGAAAATATTCTTGAAGATATGAAGCTGACAAACTTTAGAAAAAAATAAG